TGAAAGCACAAACACAGCTTGGTGGTTAACGGTACCTGGTGAGCCCAATACCCTGCTCAAGCTGTGTCAGAACAGCAATCGTTTTGTCAAAAAAAAAAAAAAATCATTCAAAATTATTTCTATTGATTTTACTGGAAACTGAATCCACAGAGGGGTGAGCCTGAATGAGTGGTGTGCCGCTGCCCTGACCGACCCGCCCTAAGTTAGCCCATATCTCAGCAAAGCACAAACAAGTCCTCAGAGGTGAAGTTCTCACGAGTTTTGTGTAGATGGATCTTCACCGGATGAACTCACACTTTATAGAATAATCTACAGATAACCCTAAGAAAGCTGGTACGGAAGTATTGGATTACCCTGATGCAGAGCACTCTTACAAAAGAAGTTATTTCCTCATTAGCCAAGTATGGTTTCAGAAGCCAGGTTTAGTGATGGCCTCAGATCCAAGGGAAAATCCCACCCAGGAGCACAGGGAAGATTCACATCCAGCTTCCAACTGCTTGGCCACCTCCAGGCACAGAATGGTCCAGATTAAAGCCCCGGGTCCAACCATCCTCCAACTCCAGGAACACTCAAGCCCAACTCTTGATTTTATAGCCATATGCTAAAACTTAATCACAGAAAACACGGTGATGGTCTGAGATTCAGCAAATCCATAGGTCATTATAAAAGTGGTGATGGGATCCAAGTGGGGCTGCCAGTCCTCGGAGAAGAGGCAGGAGGGCGAGGTGGCAGGGTTAGGCCACCGCAGGGGACTGATGGGAAGCAGCAGCTCACTGTCACACGAAGAAGTCCATGCAGAAGTGGTGCTGAGGGATCCCTGTGAATATTATTATTACTCTCGTCTGTCTCTTACCTGATTTCCAGATGAAATTTTAAATGGCTCTTATTTAGCCATCCATCTAAATGAGAGGGTCTGGAGAAGCAAAGTAAAGGCCCACCCATGTATTTCTTTCACTTTGCACATACCAAAACCAGAGCAAAATTGTGCAGCTTCTTGGATTAACTAGCCTACATATATAACTCTCTGGAAACCGAGTGACATCTTTTTGGATGTTCCCTTTCAGAAGACAAGTGTCCAAAGGCAATCAAAGTTCTTCCTGATGTATTTCAAAAGTGATCTAAAAAAAAAAAAAAATCTACTTTCAGCTTTAGCCTGCAGCTGACAAGGTACTGCACGTCATCTCAGCAATTATACCTTGCCCCCTAAATCAGGGTATGTCCCATGCTTCACTGTGCCAATTCTCTCCTCTGTCCTGAAGACAGTTCTTTCTATTTTCTGCTTGTATGTTAAGCAATTAAAATGCTTTATCTTCAACAAGATATTAATCTTAATATTGTCCTAATTTGTTTCGTCTTTTTCCGCCTCTCATGCAGAAATCAGTCTTGACAATAGCCACTGAGATAAGGACAGTAACCAGCAAGCTTCACAATAAACCATCATATACACTATTTTAGTTTGTCAAAACAATTAGTGTTCATTTTGGCTTTATTCAGTTAAATCTGCAGTGACTGATCAGTATAAATTATGTATTAGGCTGCCCAGCTGTACTTGTTTATTCATGCATGGACTTGAAGAATTTTCATTTTCTCAGTACAAAAAAGCAACAGCCAAAAAATCCCCCCGTATTCTAAAATATAAAGACACTTTCTTCTCAGCCATATTTCTGCTACATGTTTTTGAAGCTGCTTTATTCTTACCCCTCTAAGAACATTATTCTTCCTTTCCAGAAATGATACTCCAATGCTTATTTCAGTTAACCTATTATTTCATCCGCAGTTATCGGCAGCTGCATTTGCATTGGTGGGAAGCACGTACTCTTACTTTCACCCCTTGCAATTGCCTCCTGAGCAAAGCAGTATCAGAGCTAAACCAAATTATGTTGATTTTAAAAGCATCAAAAAATCGCATTGTAGGCTGCATTTAAACTCCTGCCTTGCTTCAAGAGGAACTGCTCGCAGAAATGTTTACAGTTAAGCCTCACACTCCTCTCTTTCAAGAACGAAAGTTCGTGAATCAAGAGAGATCGTTTTCCAGTTTTGCTCGTGTTTATAGTCACGCAGTCCTCACTAGGATGACTGGGTAAAGGCAATGTGTGCTGTGGGGGTGGGATGACATGCTTGTAAGTGGGGAGAGAGATGACACAGATTTAGATAAAGGAAAGAAAAATCTGCAGTGACCACGTACAGCATCAGTTACGCTTCTCCGAGGCGTGGTGTATGAGCAGAATGGAAATCTGGCTGTTGAAGCTGTTGCCCTGCGATGAAAAGAACGGCAAATTGCACACTCCTTCCCCAAAGCTGCCCTCCACCAAGCCGAGTTCAAGAGCCCATTATCAGAAGGTTTATGCCAATATTTGCAAGTTGCAGAAAGCTGTTTCGGCAGCTTTGACACGGTGAGTCCAGCCGCGCAGTGACGGACTGACAGGGTGAATGGTGGCAGTGGTCAGAAGAACACAAACAGCCAGCCTGTGTCCTCCTGAAGAGCTGGGGAGCAAGGCAGAACTTGTATTTGTTAATGTGAACGCCATATAATAACCCAGGTTGTAAGGGCAATTAAAAGGTGGCTCTTGGGCATGTATAGAACAAAGTACGCTACAGAAACATCTCCATAGGGCAGAGTACTGTAAGCATAGCGAGAGCTGTGCTGCAAAAGGCCACCTCTCAAAGCTGGGCTCAGCTACAATGTACCTGACAGGTAGCAGATTTGCTTCCACGTTCACTGCGCACAATGAAGACCGGCAAACACAACGTTTGCGTTGACCTGCATAATGTCTGTTCTAAAAGTGCTTTTGCGCAGTGAATCCTGCCCTGGTTTCGGCGGCCACTGTGCTCATCACATCGGTGAGGAGAGCGAGAGCCCTGCATGCAACTTGCCAGCACGCACGCGGTGCCAGCGACAGCTCCCATGGGCAGGATGAGCACACAGCTAGTCTTGTTGTTTCTTTCATCCAATAACCTAAGAAATGTTCTGGTGAAAAGACTAAATTTTGCTGAATTAAGTGCTTTAGAACAAGTAGTTTTATTACTTTATAATTAGCATAATTTCCCCCATAGGGATTCTTGCAATTAAATAATTAGCAGTAATGTTACCCAAAGGTGTTCCTTAATGAATTTTCTTAAGTTATTGCCCCCGTTAACGACAACTGAAACGGCTCACTTTTACAGCGCCCGAGCGCGCCTCCTCGCTAGGCTACAGGCGATGTTGGGAGGGTTGTCACACCCGAGCCGGAGCTCCGGGCCAGCCTGCTCGCCCCGGCGCGGCGGGCACGGCTCGGGCGCTGCGGCTCGGCT